GCCCCGCTTGGTGCCGCAGCCCCCCCCGCCTCAGTTTTCCAAAGGGAGGGACGTTTTCCTCCCTCGTCCCCTTGCAGAGCGGAGGAGCGCGCTCTCCTTGAGCGCCCAATGTCACCGGCGCGTCCTGCGCGCCAGGTGCCGTGGCTGAAGTTCACCCCTGCCGTGTCCCCTGGCTTCAGCGAGCAAGTACATCCTGCTCGAGCGTGTATCTCCCCTTCAAAGCATCAGCAACGGTGGTGGCGGGCTGTTTTCAACAGCCCTGGTGTTAAACGCGTGCTTCAATTTTCCAGCAGCCTCCTTTGCATTAATTAGTTATTTTATATTCTGCAAACCAGTTCAGCCAAAGGTTGTGTTCGCTATGTCTGTGTGGTTTTGTTTAATTTGTTGAGGAGAATGTGGTGAACATACATGCCAAATATGCAGGCACTGTGTTTTTCTAATCACAAAAATATTTTGCTCCTAAGTGTGAATTGTTAGGTCTCACTTGCTTATGACTGGGGAGTGCCCAAGTTCAAAATGAGCAGAGGCAACTGCAAACAAAATGTTATTTTTTTCCAATTAGCATTAACCAATGTATATAAGTAATTTGCTGTAGTTAACTTGAGCTCTTCCTTCCGGTCCATAGTTTAGGAAGATTCATATGTATCATTTAATGAGAAATATGTGTATTTACTTTGTCTGCTATGGAATTTAAGTACTTTTCACAATGGAAGTAACTGAAAAATTGTAACTCTTGACAGTAAGTGTTTTAAGCTCACATATGAAACCAAGGGGACTGAGGGGGGCTGTGGAATATGGTTAGCGATGAAAATTCCCTACTGTCATTTGGCTCTCCTTAGAGAAAGGAGAGATCCTTTTTGGCCCATTTAAATACTTAGCAAAACATTAGCCCTAAAGTTCTTGATGCTGCTTTATGAGATGCTTCAGATATTACTGCGATGAGAGACAGGTTGTCATGGGTGGTTAGTTGTGTGTAGTTCCCACTGGCAATCGCTTCCAGAGTTTTCTGTTTGCTGAAGAGCACATTTATTCATTTTAGCGTGTGGTAATTCTTCAGAAATGAGACTGTGTGTTATGTACCACTGCAAACGGGGTATGAACCAGCCGATAATCATTTTAAATCAGAATTAGAAAGCTTTACCTCGATTAAGCGGATCCTCCAACAGTATCTCGCAATTGTTTTTCCTTCCTTAAAGGCTACATTAGTCTTGACCTGGTAAAGTATAATGAGTAACTGCAATTCCCATCAAAAACTGAATTGCTGGTGCTCAATCTCTTTTAGGGTCATAACCCAACTGTGTGTCTTGTTAGGTTGGGTCTTGCCATCCGGGGTGGCTGTAGCACCCCTGGGTGATGTTACTGATACCTGCCCTTAGGGTGACTTGGACAGTGAGGCCCTTAAAGGAGGGCAGGGTCCTTCTGGGAGTTGTTTGCTCTTAAATCCGTGTGGTAGCGTGTGTAAGTTAACAAGATAAAATAAGATAATCCTTCCCAGACTGTGTTCACTGTATGCAAAATTTGGATCTTGGATATAAATAGCACCTGCTTTTGCTTCCTCCCCAGGGCCTGCAGCTGAGGTCTTAAGCATTGGCTTTTTTTGGGTATCGTTTCAGGTAACAGTTAGGACTCAGTGAATTTCTGCAACTTGGATGCTGAGGGAACATCCAGTCACTTACTACTTTACACAGTAACATACTTCAAAAACTCCAGGTTGTTGCATAGCACATAGACCTGCTAAGATAATTTAACCTCTTGTAATTTGTAAGCAAATCAAATGCTTTGAAAGCAACCACAACTAAGGTTTCCCAAATTTGCTGATGTAAGATGGATTTACATGTATTTTTAGTCATCTACATTCTGCTTTTCTCTAGTCATTAATGCTAGCTGGTTAGGTTTTTTTATTCCATAGACCGCATAAGAAAATATTCTTGTGCCATAAAGCACTAGGCCTCGGATCCATGGTTACATATAGTTTTAATTCTATATCGATAACTCTTTATAGATAGGTCTGGTGAATCAGTCTTCAGTGTCTACATCTTTGGTAAGAGCCTTTCCCCTCTGCCCCCTTGCCTGGTAGAAAAGCTGGATAAATTTACCAGAAACAAAGAGAAATACTATGCATGAGGTATTATTTATAGGTATTCCATTTTAGCATTCTCCAAAGAATTATAGCTCATAAGATAACATAAAGGGATCCTTTCATCTGGTGTGCTTAGAATCATCATGTTCCTTTTACATATAAAATTTCTGAAAATAGTGTGGTGCAAAGTGCTATTATAGAGGCAAAGAAGTACCCATTCCTATGTGATACAATATTCCCCTTCCAAACAGAAATCTAGAGATAAGTTGGATGGACAACAGGGTTATGAGTTGTTTCTGGAACTGGCGTCACTGGCTACCCCTAAAACTGCAGCTGTCTTATGCAATGAACCAAAGTTTAGCCCTAAAGATGTAAAACTGGGGATACCATGTTCATTTCAGGGTTAGGCTTTAAACAATCCTAAGAGCACAGATGAACATTTGTGTAAATCAAGTGTTGCTCCAGAAAATAAAATGTCAATTTAGGTTAAAATGGAAACTGTCAAGCTTTTTAGATTATAGCACTGGTATCTATCTTTAGATTCCTGAGATTGGTGGTGGTTTTGTTTTGTGTTCCCCTCATTTTTGTTTTAACCACAGGTTATCCTAAACCAAAAAGATTTGGTGAGATACTTGGTGAGGAGGGGTAGGAAAAGAATTTCCCATGTGCAATAATTGTTCAGAATCTGCACTAAGCTGATAGTATTTCGAAGGCTTTTGTGTTCTTCGCTCAGAAGAAAAAGATAGATTTTTTTTTTCTTCCCAGTTAGGACATTTTCCTGAACTGCGGGAGATTAGGCAATAAGTCTCTGCTTTTTTGCATATTCACTTTACTGGGGACTGGTCCAGCTGCTGGCTATGCTGACATTAGTCTCTTTTACTACTTTCTTTGAGACATTTCACTTCCTAAAAATGACTAAATGTTTGGAGAATAGGCTTGAATTTGAAATTCCTTGATCTATTGTTTTTCACTGTTGTGGGTCTTGTCTTTGGACCAGAAATTCTGTCTAGCACTGGGGAAACTTTTCCTGAGGAGATCTTGGCTGAAATGTTTATGTTCTCACGGTAGTTAGAATTGGGATTTTTTTTTATACAAACTTTTAGTTGGGATTTTTTTTTTCAAATTATGCACGAGCTACTTGCCTTGGAATGGGAGCTCTTCATTTCCCCCCCCAGTAATTTTAGAAATAAACATTAAAAGAGTAGCAATAAAGGTGAGCAATTACCTGATAACTTGGCTGATAACTTGGCAGTTGATTAGCTGGCTGTTCTGTCGCTGCAAACAAATTCTGCAAAAACATGTGCCTATTTCAGGATAAGCTGAGCAAGAAGATCTTCCTCACTGCTCTTTCTCGCTTCTATCAGAATTTAAGTGACTCACTTGGTTTTGCTCCCTTTAAAAGCTTTTTTTGATTGCCTGCAACAGCCTTATTAGTACTTGGTATCACAGGCAGCTAAGGGACTTAGTTGCCCATGGTATCTGTAGAGTATCTGCACATGGCTGATGTTGAATGTAACTATTGTGCAGTGACATCTGGAACTGCAATGTCACTTCACTGATGTTGTAAGAACACGCTTGTACACTGCTAAAATTTTTACATTTTGTGCTTTGTATTCTGGGGTACGTGTGTTTTTAGCTGTAAGCATGTCAGCGCATAGCCTGGTAATATGGAAGCTCTTAAAACTTCTTATTTGAATCTGCTGCATAACTTACACAGTTGAGATTTTTGCCTTTATATTTCAGTTAATTCTGAAAAGACACTGTGTGGTTTAACAGTGCATCCTCTGTAGTAACTGTCCTGTCACCTGCTAGATTGACCAAGCTGTGACTATTTGTGTAATAAATAGGTACAGTATAAGCACCTGAAGCAAAAACAGTCTTTCTGAAACAATCTGTCCCCAAACATCATCAATCCTGCTGTGGATGAACTTTTGAAGTGAATTAGACTACTGAAAAATGTAGTTTTAAAATCATATTTCTTTTCAGAGTTCTGCACCATTATTTTAAGTGTTACGTCATGCCCTTTAATGTGGTATCTCAACATCCTTTAAAACGGATTAGGTGTGAACATGAAGTTCTCTTCCTCCTCAATTCTTTACTGAAAAGCTTGTCAGTAGTGAAGCTGTGGGAAAACCATCCTGAAAAAATACATTTGACATTGTAACTCCGTGAATATCCCTGCATCCAAAAAGCTCCATTTTGCCCCAGACCCCTTTCTGTAGGGATCTGTTCCTGAATATATTTCCGGCGTGCTGAACCAGAGTGACCTGCAAGAAGCAATATTACATCACGGCAAAACAAGCCTAATTGACACAGCTAATTGAGCTTGGAATCGGGTCCCCAGGCAAGCTAGGAAACATTCGTCGCACCTGGACATCTGCCTTGTGTCATTCTTATTGCCTCTCTGGAAAACAAGGCTGGTAGGCTTATGACATAATCCTTTTCACATCTCTTTTTTGGAGAAAAAGGGTCATGTCTCTGGTGTGGAATATTGACAGAAGAGCTATAAAATGGAAGAGGCAACTTCTGGCTTCGCAGGTGCAGGGGATGCTGTGGAGGAAAACACTCCTTTTTTGTTGTTTCCTTCCCTTTGGGATGCATTGCAGTACTCTAAATTTCATAACAATGAACAAGCTAAATAAGAGGTGAAATCTCTGTTGTTTGTTTATAGAATGTATGTTTATTCTTATGCTGAAATAGGTTTTTATAGTCTATCT